GTGTTACCGAATTCATCGGATAAGTAATACGGAATGCATTGACGAAGAACTTTCGTTCCTCAGGAAAACTCTGGCTGAAAACAGCTATCCATGTCACTTCACGAAGAATAAAACAAAAAAAAGTCAGAACAAAAAGCCCGGCAATTCCGATTCAAACAAATATATTTATATGAATATAGAATTTAAAGGCGACCGAACTTCCGATGTGACTAAAAGTCGGTTAACGTCAGCGGTAAAAAGAACGTTATATGCAGCAAAGCTGCGACTACCGTTCACTAGTAGGAACTTGCTTTTGATATCCGTAAAGAATAAGCTTCCTCATCTGGTCGCCTCTATGTGCATATCCAACTGCCTAAAAGAACAAGAGTTCCAGCCATCCATGAGATGAAGCCGGGACTGTGCGTCCAAAAGAAGTACGTCTTATATTTACCGTTACCATGGTCATTATTATTATATTTCGTATTTGAAAATATTCCCCTCTCTAATTGTTTGTCATATCCCTATGATTTTATTTAAAACTGTCTCTGACATCACTTCATTTCACTTAACCCCTCTATCACCTTTAATTATCGTAACAAAAATGTCTCAATTATAATATTATAAACCGTTGCTAATTTGTGAGTTTTACAAGGCTTTTCATTCACACATACAATCTTTCATTGTTACTATTTACATTGCGTAATCTAGTATCATAAACTTTCTATTACATCATCATGTTCATTCTCTGTTCATATTTCCACAGGGAACCAATGCTTTAACAAATAATTTTCATATATATGTATATTACAATCTAGTCATTTAAAATGTATGATATACATCGGTTACCGACTACTTGCTCAAGTGAAACCAAACAAATCACATCTTTCTACATCTTCATGTTAATATCAAGTGAAATACATAACCATACGGCAGCTTAAGCACGAATTAGCAATCACACTGATTGTTAGTTGAATTATGTAATACAAAACATTATATAAACAACTTATACTAATTCAACAAAAGTAACCCGTCAGATATTATTTTAACTGTATTTTACTCTCATAGCTATGCAAGTACGATGCCAGTGAGTAGGAAAAAAACACTGGGCTATGTTGTAAGTCGGAAATAACAGCCTGGCCGAAAATGTAAACTATTTATCCAAATAATACGTCTTCTCTAGTATACTACTGCTAAGTAGTTTGCTATTACAACAAAAAATGGAAACTAGGTTCTGTGGTATCTGTACCACTTACACATGAAATATCTGAATGTCAAATAAAGATTCCTTCTTGCACATACTCTATAGTCACTCCGGTTCTTACTACTTCAACCCATACATTCAAAACAAATATTTCTAATGAAGAATCATCAGACAGGTTCATTGGTCAAAAAACGTTCCAGAAAAATATCCGTACGGATTTTGTATAGGTAATTCATGAAAAACGTGTTCAAGTCCATTATATTAGACATTATGTTAGTTACAATTAGTTCAAACAACTGCTTGACTTCTAGAAGTGTGATCTTTGAAAAAATTTGGCAAAGGAACAATCATAGAGAATTTAATAAAATTCAGGAATACGCATTCAAACCAATTGATAAATTTAAACAAAACATGGGTGTAACGATTAGCAAAGCTCTATGTTAAAATACCCGAATACTGAATGACAACAGCAAGCAGTGAATGTTCATAAAAATGACAGAAATATCTCAAAAGAATTTTCTTGAGAAAATATGCAATTTCTCAATTTAAAAAAACAGGAGGCTTTTCCTAAGTGAATAAAATTCTATATATACTAGTTAGTGAAATTTATTAGTAAAATCTTATGACAAAACATACAAGTCAGTCAGTCAGCTACAACGTAGGACCACGCATATAATATGTGCATCGGTTCAAGGTGCCATACCTCACTAGCATAAAAAGATGAACACCGAATTCATAGTACTTAATTCACAGGTGGTGTAAAATGTGATTGATAGACGAACCCACCAATAATAAGGGGAACGCCCACCACCACATCAATTCTTTTTGACCTTGTACGACTGTATCTCTTTATTAACTAATCACAGTTTAATGTTCATTGTAAAACAATATTAGCTTGTTGACTCATTCTTCCTATTCTCTGGCTACTGTTCGGCATGTTATTTGTCTCTGTTTTTCCCTGTATTAATAGACCGTACTGTTTGTTTGTACACTAACGATGTTAATTTATGTTTTAGAAACAGATAAAGTTTATCTAGCCAAATAGCTTGCTTGTTCTGACTTTGGTTAAACCAAGACTCTGTACTCGACAGTCTAGAGATTAGCTTAGAGTTGAATCTATGGGAAATTGCTTCCTACAGGTGGTAATATATAAAAGAAAGATTGCATATAAGGACATAGTACAGGAAGAAAGAATTAGGTCATAGAAAGAAAGTTATAAAGCGATTTTAATCTCATAGTTTAAGGGAAGATAGAGTGTATACACCTACGCCATTGTGATCGATTTTGGGTCATGTCACCCAGATTCTCCAACCATTGGTTACGCGGAGCCCAACCAAGTAGGCTGCATACAACTCGCTCGTATTTAGGTCAGTGCTACTACATCCCTTCGCTATTTAAACTATAGTGTAGTGTTTCAGGAAGAATAGCTTCACCTAAAATATTTTCCATGATAAAGTATTCCAAATTCGCTATGACCATTTATAGAGCATTTGGTATTAAAGGAAGTGTAACTACAAAATGCTTTGATAAATAGCACGAATCAACTGAACATACTTCAAAAATTCTGTCGTGTGATTAGAATGTTGAAAAGTCATAACCCGCGCTTGCGAGATTAAATCAACCTCAAGGTCAAGACTTCAAACGGGCTGGTAGGATACGGCTTAGTTACGACTCAACATTTAAGGCTGTTAAATAATCAAGTATGGAGTTTTCTACTGCGAAATTTCAATTATACTGCTAGGGGATTTATTGCTCCGTTATCTTAAATATCTCAAATTGGGTTATAATTCAAAGAGATCTATACAGTTTTCATGGAATCGGAAAATCGTAGTTTTTTTAGTAAGGACAGACAACATCGATATTTAAAAAATATACGTGCAATAGAATACGACCGTCTAATTTACAATTTTTAATCCCATTCTTGATTTCGTCAGTTGTTACAGAAATTTAGCAGTACAGCTTCATCACTTGGAAGAACTTATCAACCAGTTTTTGTCCGGAATGTAAGGTGGAACTGCCCTACTGGATAACAGAAATCGTTCGGCAGTGTAATTACATTACTTTCCGGTATGCTGCTAACAGTTCAGTCTTGAAATTATGGTCGAAGCAGACTCTTCCAATTACATTGTCGGAGAAAACACGAACACAAACTTTCGGTAATAAGCAATGTTTTACATTCATCTGTTGAAGATTTCAATCAAAATAATTATCTGAATGAAAAATAAAAAAGCGTCGTCATAACTCAAATTTCCACAACAGAACGATAAAAATGGTTCGCTTCTATTAAGAATTTATCAAGTGTAAAAATACGTTTGTACCTTTTCCACACAAGCGACGCATCAACACATGGTGACTTAATCAGAATAACATAATGTGCAAAAGTACACAGGCCAAAATGTTATGAGTGCATATAATCATATAAATAAAAAAACAAAGTGTACTACTGACCAGTGCCTCCTCTCTGATATATGCTTGAAAATGACTCTCCCAAGAAACTAATTTTTGAAGGATTGATTAAATAAATATCAGGGATGACAGTAAAGAATCTGCCTAAAAGTTCAGAATCTTTACTGGACGAGTGCTTCGTCTGAATCATCTCAGTGACGAACTCCAAAAAAGATGGCTATCAACCAAATTCGGAATATTACAGACTGTGTTTTGAAATTTTTTTTAACAAACGTGAAGAAACGAGGTGTTGGGTTAAGAGGTAGGAAAAACTCAAGTTGATAAACACCACAAAATTTTCTGTGTGGATTTGAGTTACGAATTAATCGTTACAATCTCCGAATTCGAGTCACTCGCTACTGGATCAGAACCTCACAACCCTTACTTCCGTTCAGCTCCATTCAACTAATGGTTAGCTATGATTGGGAGTATCGCAATTTCGTAGGTACAAGATCAATCCTCACGAAATCCAGCCTACCGGTCCAGAGTTGAGCGTCCACTGAATCATTCATTCACTTAAAAAACAATTTGCTGAGAACTTTTCGAGGTACTGATAGTAGTTCTCAAACATACTAAGAAATCCTTTTTTGATATCTTGATGAAGTAACTTCCCGTTCAGTTCAAAGGTATGTGCTCTTCCTCCAAAACGTCTAACATTTTAATAGTTTGCTCTAGTGCTTCAGCTGGTATGCTTTCTGGTCTTGCTGTTTGACGCTATTGATTTGCCTGATGAATTTGCTGATTTCTCCTATTGCTGGTTGGTTTACATCTATTTGAATGTCGGTATGTGTCCGGCGGCTTACCCTCAGGTACGTTAGAATATTTCAATGATAAAACTGAGTGCCAACTTAGCAGATGATGTAAACGTGTTTTGGAGTCAAATAAAATAAAATTTAGAACATTTCATTTACAAAAATGTTCTCTCAATCATAATAGAAGGTACACATTTCCTCATACGATAGATTGATTATTTTTAACGGCCGAATACCTGGCATAATTCACGGTCATGTTGTTCACTAAAAATGATTATTAGATGGTCTCAGATTCGATCACAAGATATCCACCCTTAATAATTCCCATTACAAATCAAACATCTAAACAATGATTCTTTATTTCCATAAACAAGCACCTCAAACTGCTTAAAAGATGACTGTAATGACCAGAATTATGGAAAATGTAAGACAATGATTTTCGCAAACACATGTACTTTTAGGACATTTAGAAACTAACGAGAATCTAACAAATGCGCAATGTTCATTGTGTATATTAATAGGCAGCAATAAAAATAATAATGAATAAAAGAAATTCAAAAATTAGTTTTGTCCAATTAATACATTGTAAGGCTTAAACCTGGCATTCACAAAATGATAAATAATTACTTCCAAAGCATTTGATCATGAAATGTAATATGGACATGATGTGCATTATCTTTTATAGGACCTCGTAATTCTGTGATTGTTATATGATTTCTACCCAGTTTTAAAAATGTTTTCGGTACATACAGTCGAAACTGTGGTCCTTGTTGCTGATCAAATCGTCCTACATGATGACCATTAACTGATATTATTCCCTATGAACGAAACAAAACAAGATTATGAACCAAGATTTCATGACAATAAAAATTCCAATTTCATAATTACGAATGAATAGAAGATATGTCAGTCTGACAACATTGGTCGTCATTCCTGTAGGTATGTGGCAAAAAGCTTCAAGTTACACATTATCTAGTGATCATAATAAATATTTACCAGACTATTTTGGAGTGTCCAAATCAATCTGTTAAATTTTTATTAAATTTCATTCATCTAACATATTGTTTAGAGCACTGATATCTATTCTACTACGGAACCGACACATGGGAGTTGAAGTTAAACGACATTTAAAATAGATATGTATTTATTCACCAACAGCTTTGAACCACTGTTCCACAACAATGACACCGACAAAATACTGCAATCGGAAAGGCTGCTTATAATCACATAAAGACGTGGGGTAAAGCAAAACACTTCAGTAAAATATCTAACGCTTTCTGACTTGCTATTAGACATTACCGTATGTAGTCGACAAGATTTCACATCAAAATATCAAAAAGCTGCACATTTAGTTTTGCCTGTTATTCGAAAAAAAATTGATACAGACGAGACGTTTAAGGCCACTCACTTCATTGCAAAACAATTTGATTTATGCTTTGAAAGCTTCTCTATGGTATTTGAAAGAACTCACTACACAGAATTTCACAAAACGGTCAAGATTTATTTGTGTAAATAACTTTCAACAGCTCCTGCACCTGTCGACTGTTCTCTTAGGATAACAAGATGGATTCTGAAGTTGTTAAAGTCATAATCAAATGTCTATGAGAAGCGCTTATGATAAAGATTGGAATCGTATCTTATAAACAGCCAGTGTCTGTCTGTCTTACTAAAAAAGCTATCTAAAATTAAGCGTATGTCAGTTTGATACCGTGTTGTAATACGTTGATCATGTATTTAGTGAAGAAGGCGATAAAAATGAAGACAGTAGTTAGTAAGATATATCAGAGTAAAATTATAAAGACCATATTAGAATGAACCACTCTCTTGTAGTAATTCTTCAATTGAATCAACTTTTAAAGAGAGTCAACAGATTTTTATGTTTGCGTCGATGTTCAAAGAATGAAAGTAATCAGGAAAGCTTATTCATGTTTTGTGAATATAGTCTGTCATGTAAATGACTGTTAGACACACCTTTACATTTACATCTTAAATTCAAATATTAAACCTCTTCCTTACCCTCACAAAGCTATCAGGTTGGATGAAAGTATCTCCCAAATCCTCAACAATGAATGCCCCATGATAAATAGATCCAGGTACTGGCCACTTCTTTTCTGACAGAAAATGTTTCCTTTTAAAATAGATAAACAGTCGTTAAAACAACAACATGAAATAGGTCTGATGACATTAAATCCAGATTTCAATTAAAATTCAAGTTGATTAAGAAACTAGTAAACATTAGTGATTGCTGAGCAAAATGTTTCAATGTATTTTAAAGACAATGAACCTCCTACTGAACCAATCTATACCACATATATTCTGTAGATAACATGTCCTGAATAAGAACTAATGATGACTTCAGACATTGGGAAAAGATTGATTCGGTGCAAGAAACTAACTTCAAATCATGAAAACTAATTCACACGAAACAACTTGGTAACGCGATCTTAATATTGGACAGAAAACGTTCCTCAGAAAGTTGGACTGGAAATATGATTTGCTTGATTGCCTAATAATAATTATTCTCCAATTGACAACACAACTGAAAGGTCATTTTACTAGTCAGTAAATTAGAAAACCTTTCTTTATAACAAATCATTCATCTGATAACAGAACAAAAAAGTCTGAAGTAAGCGAGTGTTAAGGAATTGATTGGATAAGAATTTCCGATATTATGATCTGAAGACATTTGCTTCGGCAAGTTGTCGATTCATCCTTCTCACTTTCAATAGAAAACCAATTCATAAATTTACCGAATCAGCTGCAAGGTTTTTCGTTACGCCTGTGAGGAAATATTTGTAGTTGGGACTTACAGAAAATATTCAGCCTAATAAATGTAGATGATAATCAGGTCAATACTACTTTTAAGCTGGCTATCTAACTTCTGCTTAGAAAGATGCATATAACTATAACTTGGATCATTAGTATAAACCTCAGGATTTCTACTTTCAACAGGTTATGACAGAAGTATTGTCATATTCTCATATTCATTTATCCAGTTGGCAGTAGAACCTCTTTCAAGAGGACAGATGTTCTGAATTATTTACATCTTATCATCTATTGTGTTTATAAACTTAAGCTTAGTAAAATTTCTGATATATGTTTCATGTACATAGAAATCGTTGTCCTTTTGCTCCTGTGAACTAACTCTGAAGTTTGAATGTCACAAGTTTTCTACAGTAAAATTATGTGCGTAGAAATGTACACTATGCATAAAAGAATATAATGGTAAAATCATAATAGTGACGAGTCCTATGTATCACTCAAATACTATTTGGCATCGACAAATGATACACTCACACAATCTCAACTACGGCATCACCAGTTAAGGTACTTATTCATACTTTTAGGATTGAAAAAATGATGAAATTAAACATCAACGGAATTCGTAGTGTTTCAATAAATTCAGAGTCAACTAAGTGAAGCTCCATAAGCAAACAAAAACACTAACAGATTAGTAATGAAGTGTCAACTTCGATCGATGCAGATCTGTGCAACTTCCTAGGTTGCAACTAACTAAATGATTAACAATGTAGTTACATAATTATCTTGAGACATCTATATGAAGTGAACTTGTGATCAAAATTAGTTACTGGTCTTCATCAACATACTTCACCAAAACATTACACAATAAATGTTTTGGTCAGTAAGTTGAGTATGGCAAATCACTTCGTCTACTCTTACCCATAAAACTGAATGCTTCTAAAATCCAAACATCAATCCATCCTTTAACCCCGAACAAACGAGCTGAAATGACCATGACCTTCTACACTAATCATTATTTAATAGCTAAATAAACACACACACACACACACTATGAATCTCCCCTTAACTGGTGCACAGCTAATGGATAGACAGACTTTAATGGATTATAACACTGACATTTACACCGTTTAGAACACAGTGAATCCTGGTCATGTAACATCAGAGGAAATTGACAGATTCGATTAAGCCGAAAATGTTGAGCAGCATGTCACTCCGAACTGTTAATGCTAGTGTCAAATAAAAATAGAAAATTCATTGGTTAGTGAAGTGCTAGTTTTGGGAGAGGGAGGATGCTAAAAATTAACATTTTCGAATACTACCATTCTTATTTGTTTACGTTCACAATACCTTTCAGTTTTAATCAATCTATGTTGAATACATCACCCCACCAAAAAGTAGTTTTGCATAAAATAACAAATAGAGAAAACCATGATAAAGCCTTTATAACAGGTTATTTATCAGAATCACGTATTCGAAACATCAGTAGTAAATTCTCTATAATTCATAACAAATAACTGGATATTTTATCGTTCCATTTTTGTTCATATTCTATTCGAAAATTAACATGCTTCATTGGAAACTACGATTACATACATTTGAAAAACTGTATAGGTTTAAGTCTAGGAACCTACTTTCCAATAAAGCTAATTAAAATACCAAATCATTTTTTCGCTAGGACGTAGAGATAATTACATTGTTATTCACAAATGAAACTCGCTCGACGGCAAATACAGTCAAGTTGAAAACTTTATCATGAGGACAGTCACCCTTACGTAAAGGCGAAAAGTGTTAATCTAAAGATATTCTACTCACATTTTGTTTGTGCTCACTATAGCAAACGGATCTCTAATTGGAATCATTGTCCAATCTCGAAGTTCTTTTCCATTCAATATTACCGGTCCAGTAATACCCTAAAAACAGGATTATAATTGAAACTTAACTTTTACAATAAAATAAGGGAACATGTTCTAACATTCTTTCTCGTCAGTTATGACAAAGATGTTGTTACAAGTATAAATTTGACAGAATAACAGTAGTTTATTTCTGCAGTCTCCTAGAGAGACGTTAACTGGTTTGTATTAAAATGTTAGGGGTGGAACGACAACCAAAGGTTAGAACCTATCAGCCTGGAATTTACACTTGTATCAATAAAATAATTTATTTGTAATATCCCAATGAGTAGAAAAATTAAATTTTCTGATGTTTCGTGACTCAGTGTAAGCCACTTCTTCAGAGAATAAATAACCAAATCAAAACTAATCCAAGGTTAAGTAGTACAAAGAGACAATGTAAGAATATTATGTACGATCAATCAAATAATAGGTCTGAACAAGTCAATTGACATGTCTACTCATTGGAATATTACAAATATAATCTTTTGTTTATAAAAGTCTTCCCAATGCTCTATTTATTCGCAATTATCAAGTCAAACCTTGGTAATGATACTTACACTTGTATCATTTATGGTCATACAGGATATATCGACTATTTATGATTGCTTCTCTATTTTCTAGTTAACCATATGGTACAGTCATTAGCTTTACGTATTCAGTCACATTACACGTTTAGTTAAATATTTACTTAATCAAAACGTTTAATCATATCAGAAGGTCAAAGACTTTAAATATAGTAGTACCGTGGTGTATGCTAATTATGCCGACAGACATAAGCTGTATGTAACACCAATCGGAAATGGAAAACCTGGTAGCAGAAGGCTAAGAAGATCGAGTGAAGAGAATAGAAAGGAATTGTGAACTTAAAGAATCGTACAGAATGTGAAGGACAACTGATGGAAATTCGCAAATGAAGTATTCATTGTATGATTTTTATATTTTACCAAGATACTCTGTAATTTTGTATTTAAAACACAATAGGTTTTCCCCATTTGTGGTGTCGGTAACTACAATGTGAAGGCGTCTAGTGATAAGTCACAGTATGAGAGCATTATTTTACGATTACAATTATTTGATTCATTATTAAGGCACAAAATAAGGAGATAATGCATTCTTCGACTTACCTTTACATCCGAATACATGTTAGATCCATAATTAATATGTCCAGCATTTTCAGCAATTATAGTAAGGTTACTTACATCATGCATGTTGTTTAATTGAAACGTTCTATTTTTATATCGTATTGAGCCATGAAATGTCTAATTAAGTAAAAAATTTTAAAAAGCATTTTTAAAATTTGTAATATAACGAGAACAGCTCTGACGAAAATACAGGTAAAAAAAAGACAATTAGAGTATGAAATTTCGGACTGCCCATAATTAAATGTAATTTATTGATGCTAACATAAATGAGAATAATGAATAGCTCGGTTAGTGTGTCCGCATCGATAAAGTATCACCTTTACAAGTCAAACTCAAAAATCTATCGAATTTAATAACCGTATGTTTGGCCCCCTACCAATGGAAATTTACTTGAAAAGCACTAAAATTAAGCAGATACACACATCAAATAATGATGATTTCTTGACAAAAATGAATTTATTCAAATATTAAAGCAATTCCAAAACTACCAAATTATACAAAAGGAGAACACAAAGACTGTGAACAAAGTCGTATTAACGAAGAGAAAATTAAGCATTCACAACCATCTCTATAGGTAGCCAGGATATCCTAATTAGGGATCTTAAGTTGAAACTGTTTTCTACAGGATAAATACATTTGAGATACACTTCATAGGCACCATAGGTGTCAGAACACTATACTGATGATAGTTTACTTATTTACGTACTTACGCCTGTTACCCACAGTGGAGGAACATAAGCCCTCCATTAAGATTCCCCATCCAACTCTGTCCTGGGCAATCTTTTCCATTTGTTTACAGTCGCTATTCATTCCTTTGATGTCTGCCTAATTCCAGCCCCATGCATACTTTGGTCTACATCTTTTCTTTTTGTTTTGAGGATCCCAAGTTATGGCGTGTCTTATGATAATTTCCTTTAAATGTGATTCATCGACTGCCGGCATTTTTCCAAGATTTCCCCCACAGTTGGAAACTGGTTTGTTCTCTCCGACAGTAGGCTGTTGCTGATGGTATTCGGTCAGCGGGCATTCAATATATTGTGTATACAATTGCTCACAAATACTTGAGCTTTTTTATGATGGTTTAGTAGTTCTTTAAGTTTCAGATCCATACAACAGAACTATCTTGACGTTCGTATTGAAGATTCTGACTTTGATGTTGGCTGACAGTTGTTTTGAGTTCCATATGTTCTTCAGTTCTAAGAATCTTGCCCTTGATTTGCCAATTCTTACTTTTATATCTGCACCAGATCCCTCCTGTTAATCGGTGATGCTGTCCAGGTACGTAATACTTTCCACCTCTTTCAGAACTTCCCCATCAAGTGTGATTGGGTAGCCACTGTGTTACATTTTAAGATATTGCCTCATCCCTTGTGTATATTGATGCCTCCTGGTGCAGAAGTTGCCGCTACAATGTCTGTTCTCTGCAGTTGTTAGTATTTTTGGGAAAGGACTAGGTCATATGCAAAGTTCAAGTCATCCAGAAGTAATCAAGCTGTCAACTGTACTCAGTGCTTCCCCTGAGATGCGGAGGTTTTCATAATCCACTCAGCTACCGAGAGAAAAAACCGTGAGAGTAAGCAGCTCTGTTTGACACCGCTCTTCACTTGGAATACATCTATCAGCTATCTTCCATAGATGACTTTTCAGTGTGATCCGTCGTATGAATTTCGTTTGATGGTGATAATCTTCTCAGGTATACCAATGTCAAAAGGTTCCGTAAAATTTTCTTGTCCACACCGTCAAACGCTTTCTCATAGTCAAGGAAGTTGATGTAAAGTAACGGATTCCATTCAACTAATGGTTAGCTATGATTGGGGGTATCGCAATTTCGTAGGTAAAAGATCAATCCTTACGAAATCCAGCCTATCGGTTTCAAACTTGAGCGTCCACTGAATCATTCATTCACTTCAAAAACAATTTGCTGAAAACTTTTCGAGGTACTGATAGTAGAAACCGATTCTATGGCTGAAAGAATAAAGTGAGACATTTTCTTCCATTAGTTATGCGAATATTTATTGTATTCAATATCGCTGATGTTCAGTTATCAAAGCTATGTATAAATATTTACGTAACTGTGAATAAAGAGATTCTTCACAGTCATCAAAGTAAATGCTTACATAATGCCCAGATTTATCTCCAGTATAAATATGCGCTATGTCTGAGATACCAAAGAACTCCAGAAAAATAGATCCATTGCGTGGGACTGTTACAGTGACTGAATAAATCATAAAGCCGTCATACTGAAAAAAATCAAAAAATAATCAAGTAACGTACAAAATACGCTACAACAGTGTGTGATAAAAACAAATACAAAAAATTATTGTTAACAATGAAGATTTGATAGCAAATATTTGCATTTCAGAGTATAAATCATCTTAAAAAATTCTTTTCATGCTAGAATCTCGTCTTATACTTGTTCCAGTTTTAATTGCCACTAAGATTTTTAAGTGAATCAAGTTAGAATCCTTCCCTACAACCAACTGAAAAAATGGTATGAATATGCAGTCCTGGTATTTGCTAGTTTGTTACATACCTGAACATTCCTATACACGAGACATCGGAATCATAACTCACTTGAAATATTAATTTTGTAAATTAGGTTCATATAGAACTCTTCGTTAACGATGAAGATGAACAAGTGGCACAACGAGAAAATAACGAGGAATTCTAACTTCAACAATTAAAAAAGAAATTCGCTGGAAAGAAAAACCAGATTTGATGGAATAATAATTGAATTCTGTATAGAGACCGTCTCACTCAATTATGTATCCTGTCTTGACGTCAGATCTAATTACTGCTAGCCAATCAGCCACAAACAATGTAAAACTTGGTGAGTATAAATCGGTTCAATTCTTCCATACCCCATTAAAACAGAGAGATGAAACTGATAGGGCAAATCCCAGAGTAGAAGAGGTAATAATAGTATTAGTGGTAATGGAAAAGATTAGGCATCAAAGATACGATTCGAAGAGGAAAATTAAGTTAGTGAAATAAAAAGATTTGTAAGGTAATGTAGATACTTAGGATCTAAGGAAAGACATGAAGTGAATGTATTTGGTGCGAACAGTTATGAACCCCGTCACTCAAAGTCGCTAACCATTTGGTTACGAAAATCACCAAAACCCCAACCAGGTAGTCCGCACTCATGCACATGGCTCAGTCTAATATTCATTATATTCAAGGACTAGGGTCATGTATTAGTTCCTGTGCACAGATGAATATTTCATGCAAGAACAATATAATGAAATACTACAAAATTTTGGTAGGATATTTGTTGGTAAAACACAACACATTACTGAAATGATAATAATATGAAAGTACTGATTTTTCAGCAGAATCCTATGACAACTAGACGGTTAAGGAAGTATATTGCTGTGAACGTACATAGTACAGTAGAGAACCACCTGATTAATGTTTATAATCTTGGTGAAAGGCTTTAAACATGTACATAAACTGCGTAATAACAGTATGCTTTATTTCATTTGTGTTTAACATTACCTGTACGATGTACAAAGAAAAACCAATAATAGATAGTTGTAATTTACTATTTATTGCAGACGTCCCATTAAAATTGCTTCTAATCACCATTCCATTTTATAACTACTACGCATATCTTTTATAAATTTGAATTTGATCCTCATTGATATTTGAGTACATGAACGTTTTCAAAGCTGTATACATGAAAGTAACGCAGTCAACCACAATACACTAACGTAGATACTTGAGATTTACACAAACATTTCAGGAATTTTTTACAAATGGAAGTCATATAGACATATAGTTATATTTTTATTATCGCTATCTCTCATCCAAGTTTATAATATTAGCCAAACTACATAATATCTTTTAGCAATGTGTCAGTCTTCTTTAAAAGTATTTGCCATTCAGAAACATTGTCAAAAATAAATCTCAAGACAATCGCAACAGATAGTGGATTCAGGTCGAAAAAACTATACGTTAAGCAGCTTACCTGTCGCAAACTTTCCATAATCAGAGGAAACGCAGAATGAGTAACAGGAGCTTTATTTTCTAGAAGATGAGATTCCTAAATATTTAAAAACAATAAAAGCAGTATTATTAGGTAGGTTTGGTCACAAATTAATGATATACACCCGATTTCGAAACGATAATTATTAATTGCTCTAAAAACCAATCCATAGACCAAAGTAAGACCGCTCACTTTCATAGTTAAGACTCTACCGTTGTACACCGATCATCATTTCACTTACTAGTGAAACATAACCTTTCAGTCTATCTAATAGACTCAATAGTTAATATCCCAAATACAGAGGTATGATGGCTAACAATGGGATTCAGAAAACGCATTTCGTCCTATATGGAACTCCTAAGGTGGATATACCTGCATCCTAAATTTGACTATCTAGTCACGTGATCATTAATAAGGTAAGTCATAACAAACTGTGACGTTAGGATACGTCCAACTGGGTCTCAAACAGGACGAAGTGCGCATCCTGGAGCCCACTGCCAGCCGGCACCTATAATAATGAATTAGCGGTAATATCGAAGGGATCCGCACTGGAAGAACATATGCCAAAAGAGATTGATCAATCTCAGTCAAACATCAATGGAAAAATTCAAACGACCAATGGAAATAAATTTATTAACATTTTAGTTTTGTTATCAAATGAACAAAAAGAATACATGTTAGCTGAATTGTGAATCAAACAACTAATCATCAACCTCAATGAGTACACCTAAAAACACTCCACACTCACATTATGAATTTCCAAATTGTAATTTGAAGAGTGCTAGGTCTGAAGCTATTACGAGTTCGCTTAGTATGCGAACGGAACAAAAACTTATGACCGTAGACCAATAAGCTAGCTATTTGATGCGTCCCAGCCCCGCTAACTACAGGAAGAAGTCCAAGCTTGGAACGGGAAAGTATATTCCGTAAGCCAGAAGCTCGAGTGAACAATAACAGACACAAATCAAACGTATATATACAGCATAAAACTGTCCTTGGGAAGCGTAGCAAAAATAGCATACTAAAAATACACAACAGACCAATAGCGTTGAAGATTCTCCCAAGTGGGAAATACAACATGAAGGTGAAAAGTGCGCTTTTGCCGCGAAAACAAGGAAATTTAAGTTTCAAAAATAAAATTATAAAATTAAGGCATTTACCAAGTGAGTTCTGGGGATCTAACATCCCCAACAAAGAGACGTCTGTCGAAAATGCCTCCTGATAGTACCTTTTTAACTAGACTGTCTCTTCAGTTATATACTACCCTTTTTCATTTATTCTCATGCATTTATTGTTGTTGATTATACTGACCCTCCTTCCTTTATCCCTTCAGAACATCCTTCACGTATTTGTGTCGCGTATTTACTTTGGTGTTCCTTATGTAACAATAGTTATGTCCAAATAAATACATAAAAAGTTGTTTACATTTTGTGATGTATTTAAATAAACAAGTTGAGAAAAGCCTGATCACACAATTATCTTTACTCCACTGGTCACTGCTTCTCGCTAGAACTCCAGGACTTAACTCTTGAAGTCAGTCGCTACTGATCATATGTTGATTAGTATCAGAAGGGGTTTTGTGGAGATTTTTAATAATTCTGTAGTTGAATTGATGAGTTGATTGAAGCTAGACCATCATGGAAAACCTGGAAGCACTGGACGGCCGTTTTGTTCTAGTATGGCACTCCTCAGCAGTGCGCATCCACGGCGGCGCAATTTCGTGAATCGGTTGAAGTTAGACAATACCGTTGGATGCCGGTCCAGTAGTCTAGAGGTTAACCGTTTGCGCGCGAGACCGATAGGTTCTGGGTGCTTGTTGCTGAGGGACCCCATACTAGGACGAAACGACCGTCCAGTGCTTCCAGGTTTTCTATGGTAGTCTAGATTTAATTGACTCATGAAGTAAACTATAAAATTATCTTTACCTTGGACATGCCCTGGTAATTTCTGATTTATTTTTCATCCCAATTATCATTTTCCAATTCATCTGACCTTTGATTTAATTGTAGAACTTATTTTCATATAAGATGCCTTTGAAAAGGAAATTGGTCAGATTGGTTGAAATGTGTCCAACCGAATACACAATATTTTCCAGATTAACTAAGTCATCTCACAACAGTTGAGAAACTTATAAAAGAGGCTAACATACAAAATAATTATTTCTATTCTATTGTGGTGTGCGCTACTTATGCGGACAGGTATAAGTAGTACGTAGCAGGAACTGGAATGCTTATCAGCAGAAAATTGAAATAAGAAGAGAAAGGAAAACAGAGGGCAATCGAAATAACAACAGGACCAGAAGAATTATGGAATATGTAGAGGATAACTCAAGAAAGATACGCAAAAGACGTATATAGTGTATGATTTTCATATTTTACGACACCATTGAGCAATTTTGCGTTATACAATAAATTGGTTTTCCCTACTAAGTCTTTATTCACAACATTACGACTGGTTTTTGTTAAAGACAATTTTGTAAAATTGGGTAAAAACCACTTTCATGGTCTTCTTCGTGAACTGTCATTCACAAGTAATGTCTAAGAAAGATATTTACGAATTATATCGTTAATTTTTTTTCACAATGAATCATCACTGTTAATTTCTAAGAAGATTGATTTGAAACATATGATGAGTAACTACAGTTTCTTTTCCAACTGTTTTTGGTATTCCAATGATAAAAGTGGTTCATCTATCTAACTTTTAATCAAGGTGCTGATTCACTGATATCTGGAAATTAAAAAACATGATTTCCTTCAACAATAGAGTTGATGTTGACAGACAACATGTCACTGTTTATTTACTAAAACACTACTAATGAATACAACTATTTCCAGCACCCCTAGTCCCAATATTTCTACATCGAAATACGCATTTATGATAAAGCACATTCTATATTAATTTGACTGATCGCTTAACTGATACAATAATGTCTACACTTAATACCAGAATGCTTCAAAATAGCACAACAACAAAAAGTATAACTAAGAAAAGTAAAGAAAGAATAATCGACGAAAAGTGAAACTAACTTAACATAACTAGTGGAAATATAACTATTATATTCCCTACCTTTTGTGCTATAAAAGTGGGAAGTATGAATACAGAGTTATAACATAGAGTTGCTCACTTATCACAAAACGGTGAGCGAGTTTTGTTCCATTAACAATCGAAAGCCATAAAACTATATTTCTGTTGTTCTATCCCATTACAAGAGATACAAATCTGAGAGGAATACAGAACTTCGAGCATAAAACTGCAACAACTGTTGACTGAAATGCTCATTTGTTAAATCTACATGAACGAATGAGTGAAATTAAATGTGCTAAACCGATAATAATATATACATCACACACAAGACATCAAATTATCCAGTGAATGGTGTTAGAAACTGAAGCTTGAATATCGATTAAACAATTCTACAATTCCATGGCTGGCAATAAAACGCAGTCATTTATTTCGAAATCAAAATCAATTCTGAGTTGAAGACACGTTTATGAAACGAAAACATTGACTTACGAATTTCATATTAACACGACCATACGAAATCTTTGTAGTATTTCTTGGTAACGCCGGTGGTTCGGTGCCTTTTCTCTTAGAACAAAACAAATGACAGGAAATTCGACAGATCTTATCAGGAATACTTACGTAAATTATATTAGTCTGTGTTATAATCAAAACAAATGTTCTTCACTGATGACTTACCTATGTCTATAAATACAAAACCATAAATTATGGCTTTACTTCGTATTAACTCTGACCAGATAAAACTCAAACACATTGTACTCGCCACAAATTTTGAGCGGAATCAGGTAGGTTAATTCCACCACTGACAGAAGCGAATCAACAAAATATTAAACAGCAAATCATCCCAAACATACTAGCACTATTACTCAAGGCGATCAGAAAGCTCTGCAATGTGGTGATGTCTTCACCAAATAGGACTATCATTTATATAACATAAATCGATAAGTGAACTTCCTGATAGAAGATCAACCCCCGAAAAGTCAAATGAAGTGTTTCCTCTAGGAGAACATCCATGATGAATTGAATGAAAATGGGGAAAGCGAACAACCCTGACGAATACCACATGAAGTTATCACTTTCGATTCAGTTTCAATAACAGCTGTCTTTTTACGAACCTGTCAATCAATCAAAGTGTAGTCTTTGTATCAAATTAGTTGAAAACAACCAATAAACAGAAATGAACAATTGAATGGTTCCTGTTTGTTTATTTGCCGAACTTATTTACGAATTTAAACACTTTTGCATACAATTATCTTGCTGTAAAACATAAATTAGGGTTTTCCTTTGTCACACCGAACAACATGCATCATTTACTGGTCATTGTATTTTATCATAATAATTCAGCATTATCCTCTGTTAATATAACCACTTTCGTATGCTTCCCGGATCCAGTGGAACGTTCTCGATAGATTAGATAATAACATGCCAGATAATAGTAGTTAGTGATTTTAGACGCTGTACACTATAACATAACTATTTATCCACACTAAAATAAATTTGGGATAAAGGATGGATTTCTACGTCAAATTTTCATGGAAAAAAATACTTACCCGGAAAAGTAGATCTCTTATTATCATATATTTTCTTGTTATATCACCAGCTTCACTGATTGGAGCATCATAATCATAACTTGTAATTGATGATTCAGGTCTTGCACCACCGTTCCAAAATCCAAAATTGGTTCCACCGTGAAACATATACCTTTAAAAAAAAAGAATACTGTCTCGAAATACAGCTTATTAGCGCTCATTTAGCTCTATGAAACCTTAACATTTAAATTTCTACACAGTATTTTCATAAACGACAAAAGAATCAAAATGTATGATCATTCCAAATACATGAATTGTATCCTGCACACTAAAATCAGATAAACAAGAAAAAAGGAACTGTTTAGCTATTTTTACTATTCGTAAGAGCTTTCTCATTTCCCCTTCTATTCAGCACAGATAATACTATGTATTAAAATATGAGAAATATCTTGGCATCTAGCACTTCACCATATCTCGGCAAGGATTATGAATAGCGAATAAATGGTGATGTGCACTGCTGAGTCCTATAGTAGGACGAAACGGCCGTCCAGTACTTCCAGGTTTTAAATGGTGGTCTAGCTTATATCGACTCGTGATTTCACCTGTGAAAATAGAGACTTAACTTCTACAATCTCCTATTTAAATATCCGATGTACGATGCGGCATCCTCCCTCTGAAACTGAAGCTTGTACTTAGATTGGTCACACAATGTTTAACTGCCGCTGTCATAGATATGTAAAAAACTCCTGCTCCTTTGGAATGCTAATCTGGACTCTGATCATTTCGTGGTTTGCTATTGGCTTATCATGTGCTTCAGTGGCTAAAAAATTTGCCTTCATTCACAATAGACAGTGACGTTTGAGAGGTAATCAGAACGTTCTTGTAACCGGGCAGTTGTGTGTGTTGGTAGCCTGACTGATGCGACTAATCTGGACATAGTGAAAGTCAGAGTGATTCATACTAATATTAGCCACCTTTGGAGCTTTGAAATGTCCGGTTTACAACGCTTTTAAAACTCGACCTTTAGGCCGAGGGCATTCGACGACCCGATGTTCGACTATCGTTGTCTCAGGAGGGTCAATGACATGCAATGACAACACCATATTAGTAATGTTATGGTTCAACAATGTGTATTTCAACACAGTGACTATATTTCAATTGGTGGCATCATCTTGAAACACGTGCCTCTGTGAATTGGATATGTTTTACGGATGTCGTAGCAGTGACTTCCACACAATGCATTATTTGCCAAAGCTGAGACTGGGTTGAAAGCGAACAAATAGTCAGTTCGTGAAATGGAGCCGTGGTAAGAAGCAAAGCTGTGTAGAACTGGCATATCTTGGTCTCTCATGACTTCCTGGCTGGTGTCCTAGAAAAAGTGCAATTCAGTGGCTTGAGATGTTATCCGATATGGCTCAGAGTAGAAGTCAAAGGCGATTCTGTTGCAATCTTCTTTTATAATTTCTGCAAAAACGAGATGAGTTTCTTTTACAGAAATAAGTTATTCATAGTTGTACTCTTTAACATTTTATCATTTACACTGTGTCATCATATAAACTTTACATTTACGAGGATTTACTTAAATCCATTCACAAATATTAAGACTAAAATCAACTGACGAAATGAAATATTGGTTTCCTCGTCAATGAGAAATAAATTGATCCACTATACAACACTTGTTACTGAAAATCAAAACGATGATCACTTATTTAGCCAAGTCCACACTAATGATTTGAAGCCTGAATTCAGTCAGTTTACATCAACTTAAGTATTCCGATAAGTAAATCATTGAATAAGAGAAGCGGACTGAGAATTATAAATAATTTCAGTCGTTGCGAATACATCTAAAGCAGATTCCACATGTGCTAAGTTCCTATATACATCCTGCAGTGATTAAACAGAAGTCGATGAAATGTAAGCAGATTTAAAAAATAAAATTATACTACACTTTTAGGTAGTAAAATATTTTTAACGACAAACAAAACACTAATCAAGTTTCCTGAAGTGTAGAATAAATGGAAACAATGTTACATATGTATTGCAGAAGTACGATGAAATGTTATAGCTTCAGTTATGAGATTACAAATTGATCATAGTAGTCAGTAATCAACCGTCAAACATGTAGCTACCTAGAAAAGTAATTAGACTAGACATTTATGAAATCTGGAAGCTGATGAAAAGCTGTTACACAAGATGACATTCGTTTTCCTAGAAGAAAACAAATTGATAGACTTCAGAATAAATAAAGCGAAAACTAACTTACATATTTACATTGACTCTCATTGAGTAGCTGATTAGATGATTTAGTCCATCCACTGCCCATTCAGGATTAGTAATATGGTGATCCCCGCCCCACACGTCTAACCAACCAACATAATATTCACTATTTACCTTATAACATGAAATAAAAATTCGTTCATATGTTAACATTTCATCATCACAAAAGTGAATTGGTTATTATAAAGCCGCTTCAGTTCCTCAGAGTTAAAAATTACATGACTTGTAGATTTCAGACTCAATTATTAAAATGAACTAGGAGTAATTACTGCTAAAAATGTACTAGCTAATTGACTAACTGAACTAAGTCAGCATAAGCTATCATACAAATAGGTTCTGTTTCTTTCGTATCACAATCTAGTACAGTCAGTATAAAAATCCTGATTTTTGAGATCATTCAATTACGGTTACCAAATGGTCGTAGGAAACTACCATCAAATTACATCAGACTAAACAGAATTATCATTGAAGTGGTCTAGAAATCTTGCACTTCACTTTGAGAGGGCAGACTATGTAGAAAGAGCTCTTTAGTACTAGACTATTGTTATGATTTATAGAAACTCTTCTTCCTACTTGACATTTCTGTGACAGAATCCTGATAGTGTAACAGTAAATATTTTATTTGAAGGCTTCTCGTTACCTAGACCCTATCAGTTTTAGATATCATATTTGATCATCGAAATTTATGAACAATGAAATATAAGTTCTTCAATCATATCCAGTTGCCACTACATCTGTCATTTAAATCGATAGAATTGTTCCCAATTATTTTGGCTCACAATCATGACAACCCTTGTACAACCAATCAAAATAATTAACATATATTTCGTGTTGCATGGATAATAACTAAATAATAAATAAACCATTTCCAAAGCTTTAATTTTCTCATTATTCACCAGTAAATATTTTTCATAATAAATTATCAAAATATTAACATTAATTTGGATGAATTCATATATAGGTTACACCGGTTATGAATTATGACATAAAAGTTGTGAAACTTGTTTCATATTTTTTCTTAAATCATACGTAGATAAGTGAACAGTATAACATTATGTCGATATCAATAATTTTAACTAGTGTTCATCACTATAAATAAATTATATTGTATTTAATAATTAATGACCACGTTAAACAGCCATGAATTTCTACCTTACGAAGACATGATGAAAATGAAGCTCACTGTTTAGTACATGCGGCAATTTGTTGGTAAGTTTAAATAATATTTTTGACCGAGTTCTTTTGGTAAAGTATGGTATACAACCAGTGACTCAAGATAGCGATATATTGTATTTGTTTGATAGTTGGAGAAAGTATACAAAAAATCGTAGAAATAAGTTGTGCTTTTTTGTTTTAACAGTAACGTCAATAAAACCAGACTATACAGAGAACCCAGCCTGAATCACTAATGATTTAATTTGAACACCATAGCCGTGGGCTAATTAAATCGAGAACAGCCTATTGCTAAGCCTATTTCAGTAGACAGAAAAGTCACTTACGGGTAAGTATCTAGTCAGTATTAGGTGTAGACCAATCATTATAAGTTTGCGCTCAGAAGTATGGGTAATATTTATGTGATCATTTTAAAAGTTCGGCACAAACTACATGAAGGGAATGAACTCTTTAGAGCTTTTATACCAGTGGGTTAAGGTGGTAAACATTTATTTCTAAAGAGATATTATTATCCTCGATAACTTACAAAGTGAGAGGAAATAGTCATGAAAAAGAATAAATTCGGTATTCATCAACAAATCTTGAAATTGATGTTTTTAATCATAGCAATAACAATTCATGTTCACTTCAGGAAATAAATTAAATTTAGTTTGAGCCACACACAAAAATAGTATGTTGTCTTTGATTAACCTAAAAAGCACAGTAAAGATCAACACACTGCTAACCTATTTGGTAATAAGTGTTTTGGCTTTCAAAAATGTTATTAATCCATCTATTATAAATATTCATCAACACTTACCCAGGGTTGATTCTGTCGGAAATCCTCCAATACTTTGAAAACCTCAAGTACAGGAGCAGTTGCTTTACAAAGCGAGAAAAAAGTGGAAGACCAATTAGTAAGGAAATCGGAACAAAGTGAAAATAACTTTGTTCAACACACGCGATTAATAACAACACAAAACATTTCAGTACGTGACAAATCCAAATAATCCTGGTCAATGCCGTGTTTTATCTCGGATTAGAAAGTAACCTGTGTTCAAGGAATAACCGAATAGCATAATCCAGTATCAAAATAAATACAAAAACTTAAAAAGCATAGAATTTAAATCAAGAAATTGGAAACATACTAGGACCAAAGTTAACTGTTGCTAGATAGCGTTTGTCAGATGAACCACATTTTAATAAGCTGTTGGATGGACCATCAGATGTAAAAATTATGATATTTTCCCCTAGATGTGAGCGTGCTAAATTGTAAAGCTCTTTTAAGTATGTTTCGTCGCATGTTGAATAGGAGCCATATTCATTTTCCAACTGAAGACGGATAAATGCAAAAACGTCAATAAAAATATTTAAGATATTAAACAGTGGTTGATAATGCAAATTAATGATCGGTAGGTTTTCGAAACCGTTTTGCTTCATGTTGAGGTATCAGAGAATATATCATACGTAACGGTTTGAACTATTGGCTCTAGACTCAGTAAAAGTCAAATATGAATAATTATACAAAGCTTCCAATGTTTGGTTGCTTGGTATTTAACTCGTAACAGAACGCCTACTTTCGGTTTGATCTGATGGACTTCAAAAAGTGTAATTCTCAGTGGACATTTAACAAATCAAAGTCTCTGAGTTTCCAAAAAACGTTGAGTGATCACTAATAAGTAAAAGTTCATCAAGTGACAACCTAACATCAACAGAATTTTAAACTCGACAATCTTGAAGTCCCTAGTCAGATTAAATATCAGTCGATTAATATTGCACAACAAAACTAAAATTATCATGTCAGGCTAGTTTAAATACTCAATCTAGGTGGTCGCTCTGCTTTTATTTGATGTTCCTTATAATAATTCAGACCGACTTTGAAACATATGGGTTATTAAGAATCGACTGGGTGTCTGTATAGTGACATGTTTGGTTAAATGTCTGAAGATTCCCAACATGCGGACTAAGAACGTGAACATATCGAAAAATCCGACATCGAATTTCATAAAAGAAAATATTTTCCTTTTTTACAAACCGTCAACAATTCCATAAAAGTTGTGGTAAAAGAAGGCATCCATCAGTAAAGCATATCTGTGGTTTACATGATGGACATAAACACCCACTGGTTTTACTGAAACCTCATAATGACTCTGTCACCTGACTCTGACTCCTTCAATTGAGAATGCATTAGTTAAATCCCGAAACCAATGATGAAATTAAATAAAGTAGTAGTTTACCTGCACCATAATTACCGGCCCACCATTCTCATAGAGAAAACGTTTCATACTCGGTAACAAAACATTGAACCACATCGTCACAAACTTCATATATTCTGTTGAACAATACCAATTAAAAATGATTTGTTTCAACTGTAATTGCTATGATGAGTGTAGTAAAAGTGAATACAAACAAATTAGGCAAAAATTCCCTCCGCATTTACAATCACTTCACAGTTTGGTTTGATAATTCGCAACACACTAGTCAGTGCCGTTACAAATATCTACATATGATGTCTTCATGAGAAGTAGACGCGTTCCTAAATCAAGTTAGTACTAAGTGGAAATTTCCGACTGTCAACTTAATGCTACTCAAGTAACAAATTTTATTCGATACGGTATGAACTTAAATAAAAACCGAAGTAGACGGTTCATAAGTGACTGAAAGCAATAGTTGTAACCTTCATTTAGTGTCATTTGAAACGTCACAACAGCTATGTCGTACCCACCATTAACACTATTTCTATATTTGTATTTATTGGAATTGTTACTATGATTAGTCTAATAAACTTCGGCTATTCGTAGCTTTGAAATGTGGTACACTTAGAAACCATGTATTATTTCATTAGCTCCTGTGATGTACCATTTACTTTAGGGATCCCCAGACAATGAACCGCCATTTAAAGAAAAGCAGGAAGTTAACATGTAAGCTTGGTGACACTGATCAGAATAGTTTGGTGTAACAAAAAGCCAGTCTAAAATTATATTGCGGCTTTTATAAGATAGTGATGAAAATAGTGGCTTTGTCTGGCGCTATAAATTTCTTTACAGTTAAGATTTCTCAGAAAAACACTGTCCCTGTTACTTAGTTTCAACAAGTCACTTGGTAATTTTGATTATCATATCCCTATATCGTTAGATAGTGTATTGCTTAATAACCCAGGTGTAATTAGTATGAATAATTACTTATCAAACATCTTATAACTAAAAACATGAACTGAAAGAGGGATGACAAATGTAAGTGGTAACTAACAATATAAGTTCTCCGTTGTTGCTGACTGACTGAACAATATAAGACACTTCAGTTTGTACCTTTCTAGACCTCAATCATATATATCGTTCAAAAATATACTACGAATTCATTCATTTTTAAATTTTAAGTACTTTGCTCAATAAATTACTACCCATAAAACTACTACTACACATGGAAAATGATACAAATGTAGATCCAGAGGGATAATAGTAAGAGCCAGAAACGTCTGCCTAAGCTGTTTCAACAAGATAAATTCCACTTTGAATCTGATAATCTCTGGGTTCACATCATCTTTAAAACATACATATGATTTTGTAATTTATGTGATCAGTTTAGTTTAGCATCAATTACAAATTACCTGGATCACTGGAGCGTAACTTCATCAACGGATTAAACCGCAAAAGCCAAGCTGGTAAGCCACCCTGAAACGAAGCACAGATTCACTGCTTAGAAGTAGAATTCGTTGTGAATGAAACACTAAATACGTAACGCATTGGTATTTCAAACTCACAAAATCCCATTCAGCACATATATATGGTCCGACTCGTGCAATTACCAACAGATCTAAAGATGAAGCCAGCTCCAAAAACCTTCCCAAGTTCCGATCACCATCAAAATCATATACATCATTTTCGGGCTGATGGAAATTCCATGGTACGTAACTGAGTAAAATAAAAGTCAACCACTGAATACATGTGTTATTAATATTATTCGCAAATTATGTTAGATAAAAGGCATCAACACCAACATAATAATCGCAAAACACCATTTGTCTTATTTCAGAATCAGTACAAATACTCATGTCAGCCATTCCCTTTACAACAAACTCAAAATTCACGATATCACATTATCTGGTTGATACCTCCTGTTTTTTTAGAGCAAATTATAGCGATAGGTTTAGCAAATACAACAGTAACTAAACATGATAAAAACTCCGAAAATTATTAATACCACTTATTCAATGCAAGAACCACTCTTATACCTAGTTAATAATCACTACACTACTGGCAAAAATCTCATAAACCTGTTGGTGCTACTTCTCTAGGCGTGCAAATAGTCTTAAAGTAGAAAACTGAAGAAAAAACATGAATATTCCAAACACTAGTATTAGACATTTAATACTCACATCTGAATGGCATCCAACCCAGCAGCCTTCATTTTCAAAAGTCGATCGTGCCAGTACTGTTCCGGAATGCGAAAATAATGTATACTTCCGGAAACATATTGAAAAGGTGCATCATCTTTCATAAACACATGATTGTAGTAGTCGACAGTGAACGAACGTTTTGGTTTGTTACAGTAACAATGAAATAAGACTAACAAAATGACAATCAACGAAGGAAATATTTTCTCCTGAAAAGAATATGAGAAAAATCACGTGTCCGGATTCGCACAATACATTTAGTACGTATTTTAGACCACCAAGGCGGGCAATATTAATATTCTCCTGCAACTGGAAAACTAACGTGCCTTTAACAACAGAAAGAAGAGAATCCCCCCGCATTCTTGGAATTCTTTAAGTCAAGCCTTAAAACAATTTTAACCACATGTACAATAGTTCACATAACGAAATTAATGTTCCCAAGATGATAAGAAAATTGTTGCTCATATGTTAAGGACTTTGATAAACAACAGATCGTCTAGAAAGTCATATTTCAAACTGATACATAAAGTCATGGCCACACTTTTGGGATTCAGAAACCAAGAAATGATCACGTCCGATCTCAAATGCCAAGTTATCGAGCTGCCATATTTTCACAGAAATCAGAGATAGCAATCACTCATTTTGCCCATCCCGATAGTCAACTGCTGTACGTCTCATATAGAACTTTTTACTAGCACACTGAAATAATTCGTAAGATTACCACAGATCTGGATTGCTATCCCAGCTGATCCAGGATGCTCCATATGCTACATGTTGTAAAGACCACTCGCAGGCCATCCACCTTTCTTATATTCGAGATTCACTACAGACCTGTAGTCACTAGGCAAGAGGAAGATATGCAACTTTGATCAGTGGAACCTCTCAGGTTGAGGCAGTAAACAGTTGTGTATTTAGTGGTTATTATTAGTCAAAATATTTCAGTTCTAAAATTAGTTTGAGCGACGTTCAAGCATAATGAAGCAAAATTTGACTTTCTTTAAAAGTCTCTGCATGAGCGGTCGTAGATCCCTCTTATATTTCGTCGTAACTTTAGGTGCTTGATAATTTTGTTTCTACATTGGAACAATATATTGAATGTTGCATGGTGATGTGCAGTACTGCATAACGTTAACGAGAAAAAGTAAGTAACTGATAAGTAAACAAAAGCAAGTAAACAGTATGCGCTGACATTTAACAGTTTAAGAAAACAAGTGAGAGCAACACAAGCCTGGAATTAAGATAATCAGGCAACCTAAACTACACGGTTAAACATGATAACAGTTGCAGTCGCGATTCCAACAGACGAAAAAGTGCAATCTCCACCGATATATCATATTTTAGTGGGTTCAAACAAACGTTTACAGACTTCACGGATAAAAAGGGTAGATCGGTGTTCCTAAACATGTGACTGCAAAGTGCTGTTGATAGTGTACTGGTAACCACTGTTATGCCCGGTGTGCATTAGCATACTCTCTAGGATTGGTTTCTAAGCTTCAACTCTTGGACCACCTGTCTTATTCGTTGAGTTCAGATTGAACATCATGATAATCAGTCTCAATGCTTAATGCTTTACAAACAGAAAATAAGAGTTGGTCTTCTGTTTATTAAACGTAATACAAGACAGTTCTCATGTTGATAATAGACAAACAAGTGCTTAGTGTTATATCAAGCAACTGACCCGAAATCTATGCTTCCCGAGACTACCTGTTGGCCCCTAAACCACAGCGCCATGTGATACGTACGGAAGGTAATGCAAAAATGCTTCAATTGCAGACTTACAGTTATGTTGGTAAGTAGTTGTGAAGCCAGATGAAAAGGAAATACACGGTAAACAGTAATTTCAAGATAAGCCAATCACAAAAATCAGTATAATATACGCATATTTAAGAATAAATGTGGAATTTATTCGGCTTACTCTATCTTTAGGGTTGATATTATTAAGTTTATCCCTGAAGTCTTTCAAGAAAATCTGGCTTACAACATTCATCGCTTAAGTTACTTCGCTTTCGGGACAGGTCGCACTTTGAACCGCGAACACAGAACTTCTGACGAAGAATGTTGGCTTTTATCTTGACCTAGAGCGAATTTCTCTATAGAATCGGTAGTCAGTTGTGCTCAGTTTGCTTTTGGTTCCATGTATGCTATGAATAATAACCAGCTCATGCTTTGGTATATAAGCTGAACAAGCGCTCGTGTTTTTCCGATGAAACATACAAATGATGTCGGACAATTTCGTCCCTTTAAACTCGATAAGCGTCCGTTACAATTTACTAACTGATCATATAAATTTTGTTCTCCCAATGCAGCTCCTACAGTACACATGGTACAGGATTTGAGAAATTATGTCACCCCATCTAAGAAATAGTGTGTAAGATGAGGGTAATAACCTCGTGAGATTATGTAAGGATTGAGACACATCTACAAAATGTATCTGGTAAAATAATCCACGTACACTTGTGGTTAACTGCCGAGCATCTATATATGCCTACATTACCAGAATGAAACAGGTCAGTGAAGATAACTGAGGGTTTAGTGCATGGACAAAACCTAGTCCTGCCACTCTCTACATTTTGTGTAATAAAATCAGACTTCCCATTCGCTATAACTATAATGTTAGGCCTAGTAATAAAAATCTTCGGGCCCCTGCAAACGATTATTTCTTTTCAGAAACCACAGTTCACTGTAGAATTATGCACATTAGTTTATATGTCCTGATTCATCGGACTTCTTCGCCATATCACTGAGAAGTCAGTTTAGCCACAGCGAATCCCCGGGGTACCGAACAGCGAATTTTTCTCATATATGATTCAGAAGAGCAGAATATAATTCTAAGCAAATATGTCTAACTACATGGTTAGCAATGGACTTAAACTGTGCACATCATATGCTACGTGTTTCCTATCATGATATATTTCGTAAACCGACAAAAAATTTATCAAGATAATCGCACACTTTTTTGGAGAACACTGAGTAGATGAATAATAATAAAGAAAATTCCTATGCTGTGCCAGTGGTAACCTATCATGCAGAAATACGAGACCTAAATATGATACGAGCAACCCACATTAGGTTGCTTTCCAATCAAAAACTTCATGAAATGAACGATGTTTCCTTCATAAATCACAAGTTATTTGTCGTCTACTACACAATATGGCTGCATTAATGGATACGAAAAGGGACCCATTCATTCGCTTTATTCCCGTTCTCGTTAGATTATTCCATAAAGAAATACTCCAAGTTCTATAAAGTGCATCAGTTCTGACGGAACCACTTTCAACATATCTACAGATAGTTTTTTGAATACACTCCTACCAGGAAGATAAATAGTTTGAGACTAACTGCGAAATGTGACTCCTCTTCTTGAGTCGTGCTCGCCATTGGGAAAAGACATTCGTCCACTAAAGTAAACATTTAAAGCCTCACAATCGTCATAACCTGGGGTACCATTATGTCCAACAAGATACCTAACGCTACTATAAGCAGGATTGTTACAAATCATGGCGACTAACTTCATTTCTCAGCGTTAAGGCCTACTGTAAGCACTCCGTTACAATAGGCGCGGACACTGAGATTGAATCAGTTGGTTTTATCTCACCACCGTGGACATCAACCAAGAATGCGTGACTGAGATATGCGGCTACAATACAATGTATGATAGGCCACAAGTGTAGGCTAGAACTTCCAGACGCCAACAGGCCATCATAGCTTAGTTGTAATTTCAATTCACTGAGTTCGCTATTGCTCAGCTACATTTCTGAAGTTCTCAAAATATTAGATCTCAATCCAATGAGGTAGTATAATGAACGAGAACACGAATGGGGACAACTAAATATATTTGAATACAAAATTGTGAAATCTCTTAGTAAAATTTGAGAACCATAAACGAAATGCTTCATTTGCAGAATGACATCAATTTTCTCAGATTTTATTGTTCCTTCATTTCCAAATCGACCACTCTCTGTCCTCGTTCTCTTGTCTTCGAGCTTCTCAACCTTCCACAGCCAGAGATTCCACTTTCGATTGGTGATACACACTGCGTATATCTATCGACATCAGTAGCACACACCATACTCGTCTCCCCTTTAAACACTCGTTCTTGCAGCTGTTCTGCTAGCCGTGTCACTTTCTTCTTTTCTGCAGTCTATGTAAGTAGTACGCACCTGTGTCCAGAAATTTTGGTTCCATTTTGTAGCAACGACTGAAGCACTTCTGACAGACCTCGGAATTCCAGGAATCGCTATTCCAAAAGGATCCAGAATTTCATTAACTTTCCTAAATGTGATGTTACATCCTTTCATCATACCAATAATAATTTTATCTAACATTTCTTTCACCGACAAATGCTTATACTTGTAACTTCTAAATATTGTTTAGCGAAACAGACACAAGTCAATACCGGTCACTGCAGCAGATGTGCAATGACTGTAGGTACAAGAGAAAATCGCAAGATTGTACTGTGTAGCTACAACGTTGATCATACCGTTCGGATGTATAATGCTACACGTTTGTCTCCTGTTAATGATCAAGCCGCCGAACTCATTTTTAACTTCTTCACCCCTCTATAAAATACCTACCGATAGCACCTATCAATTTCGTTACTCTTTTGGCTGACACTAATTTCGCACCTGGCCCACTACCAACACTATTAGTCTAAAGGTCTCAGTTAATTGAAGGTAGGCTGGACCAAAGGAACGTTCGAAGATTACGACAGTAATCACAACTCAACTGCATGGTGTGGGGTTTTCGAAAAAGTGGTTTGGAGCAAACACTTCTTATGATAATTATGTTAAAACGAGTCATTGTAGATAACGATGGGACGTCCACATATGATCAGATATATTAGGAAGTCACATCATGATAAGTCTATAATCTTAGGATTAGGTCTACTATTATAGCGGTACAAATAGCGAACTGGACCATAATTCCACATTGTTAGGCCCGACTAAAGAAACGCAGCTTTATATTAGTCCTCATTTCCACTCCAACTTTCTCAATCGATTTTTATTTGTGTTAACCCATTATTCTAT